TTCTTCTTTGAAAATGCGGCTGCTCAGGCAATAACAGTTAATGGTGCTCGCTATCGAGACATGATAATCCATTTACCCGATATGCTATTCCATACATAACCCTATACTGTATACTTTATGAATCAATAAAAAATTTACAATTTTTAATTATAAACCTGTGTTTTCTATCAAAATTACTTCTTGCGTGAATTTTGGGACACCCTTTTATCATCATCTACCAGCAGCTAACATTTGATTTCCTCAACATTCCTTTGACAAATACACAGGGCCATGTTAAAGGCATAGCATGGTAAAGAAAACACACAAAAATCCCTGCCCTTCTGGAGCTCACATTCTGGTGGTGATGGGATGGAGGACATTCCAAAAAAATGAATAGAAAAAATATGCAAAATAGGTATCAGGTGATGATAAGAGCAATAAAGAAAAACAAAGCAGGAAAAGAAACTGGGAGCACAGGGTTAGGGAAGAAGGCCTCACTAAGAAGGTGACCTTTGAATACATTTTTAAGTATTTCATGTGGATGCAAGACTTGAAACCCCAAAACAATTCAAGGAAGAAGGCACTATTATCAGCCCTGTTTTACAGATGAGGACATTGAGGTCCAAGGTCCCACACCAGCAGAGTGGCAAGCTGGAGATACAAACCCAGGTAGTCTGGCTCCAAAGTCAGCACTTTGAGCCATGCAGGGAAGACACAGCAGTGAGCAAAAGTGCACACTGTCCATTCCCTCATCAAATTTATAGTATAGAGGTTCCACAAGTAAAGAAACAAGTGAACAATCACCAAACAAGGAAAATAAATGACATTACCCAAAATTCACAATCATAACAGTAGTAGCTAATACTAACAGAGTTTTTGCAATGTACCAGGTGTTGTTTTAAGTGCTTAAGATATATGAGCTCACTTAATCCTCACAAATACTCTCTAACGTAGTGGTCTCAACCTTGGCTGCACATTAGAATCACCTGGGAATTTTTTTAAAATCCTGATTTCTGGGCCTCATCCTCCGGAAATTCTGTTTCTTTGTTACTAATGATGAGGCCCAGAAATCAGGATTTTAAAGATTCCCAGGTGACTCTGATGTGCAGAGAGGTTGAGAACCACTGAGGTAGACTATGGCAAACAGCCCAGACTCACCAAACACAAAGGCTAGGAAGTGGGAAAGAGCTTGGTGCCTCAGAAAACAGACAGCAGGAGAGTGAGATTGAACCTTTTTATGAGGGAGGATGGAGGTACCACCAGAGAGGTGGATAGGGGCCACGTGCCCAGGCCTTGCAGCCAGGAGTGGGTGATAGAGCAGAGTGCAGCTTGTATCCATCCTTTATCGGGACTCTGTGCCAAGCAGGTCATTTCACAATTTTATTTCATCTCCCTGCAACTCCGTGGTATGGTTACTGTTATCTCCATTATATAAAAACATACTTTATGGCTCAGAAAGTTAAAGAACAATTTTTAAAATTGCTGCTGTGCTAATGGAATTCCCTCTACCTACTCTAAAATCATCTTTGTTCGTGTGTCTTAGAACTTCTGTAAGCCTCCCTCCCAGTAGCGCTGCTGAGATATTACAATTACTCACATCCTCACCATAATTTGGGGTGGCTATATGGAATAAGAATCCCACCTTGGTAAAAGGGAGAATGGAAGAGAAGGCGGGGGGTGAGGGAAGGCGGGGTAGAGCTGAGGAAGAGTTGGGGCAGCTCAGGCGGGCGAGGTCAACAAAAGTGGAAGGGCCCAGAGAGACGTCTAAAGCCTGAGGGAAATCGCACGCAGGAAGGTAGAGACCAGGGAGGAACCCAGGAATGCTCCCAGGGCTGAGAGTGGGCTCAGGGTATGAGGTGGGGCTAGGAATGACGGCGTACCCGAGAGAGGAGGAGATGGGAAAATGGGAGGAGCCTTGACGAAAGGGGCGGGGCTTAGGAACGGGACGGGGCCAGAGAGTCAAACGCCTGGAGCTGATAGGCGGGGCCAAATATCTAAGGGAAGGGCCTGGGAGGGCAGGGCAAGCGCTCCTCACCCGGTTCTGCACTGTGTCCTCTGGCGCCGTGGGGAGTCGCATCCGCCGGCGGAGGCAGAGCGCTGGAGAGGGGGGCGGGGAGGACTGGCCTCTCCGCGCATCGTTCCGCGCGTAGCCTCCGGGCCCCAAGGCCGCCATGGTCGCACCGGAGCCGGGCGACCGTTACACTCAACTGCCGCCGCCGCCACGACCCTCTCAAGTAACGAACCGCAGCGGGAAAGCCAGCACCGCCGCCCATTGGATGCGGTAGCCGCCCGTTTCGCCAATCGCAGTACTGCCGGGCGGTGCTTTTGACCAATGAGGAATAAGAGGCGGAGTGGAGTGTTTGGCGAGGTGGGGCCACAGCTAGATTCAAGCATGGTGGCGCTTCTAGTCTGCGTTTTCATCACTCACTAAAACGTACCGGTTTAAACTTTTACGTGGCCAAGACCAAAACCGCCACATCTCGCTTTTTGCTGCCGCCGCAGGGCAACAGCCTGGCAGCGGCGTCTCCCGGACGTAAGCCAGGGTGGAGCCGAAGCAGACTGACGAGTTGGCGCAGGCTCGGAAGCGCCGTGACGCCATCTCTCCCTGACCTGGTGATCAGGTCCGGGTGACGGGGAGGTATTCCTGTTTCCGCATTCACCACGTGACCAGGGTGCAGGTGTGGTAACCGGAAGGGCGGGTAGTTCACAGGCGCACTCCTCCCTCCCGAGGCACGTGAGGTAGCACCCGGCTCTGAAATGAGCCCAGAGGAGAGAGCGTAAGCGGGCGACCACCGAAGTGCTGCTGCAGACCGCGGGAAACTACGGGCTGGACAGCCATGCCCAGGTGCTGCTGGGCTCCGAAATGCTCCAACACTGCCGGCCTGCGGGGCGCCGACAACCGCCCTGTGAGGTTCTACAAGTGAGCGCAGTAGTGGGGCGAAGGTCAGTCCCCATGCGGGCACTTGGTCCAGCTTGCAGTGTCAAGCAGGGTTGGCAGGTGAAGAGACGGTATTCTCAGCGTTTCACCGCACATAACAAAGATGCAGATACGTTAAAACAGGGCTGGACGATTAACTACAGGTAGTGAGTGAATGGAGCGGGCGGAAGAAGGGGGGGGGGCGCTCTGTAGGGAGAAGTGAGGTTGTTCCTGGGTCTGTAAGGAACCACGAACCATCTCCACGAATTTGAGACATCTCAAACTCAAAACATCCGAAACCCAGCTCCTGATCTTGTCTCCCCCAAACCTTCCACAACCTTAGTTAATAGCTTACTCCATCTTTCCTTCCTTAAGACAGAAACCTTAGAGTCACCCTTACCTCTTTTTCCTCACACTTGAGAAAGTAAAAATTAGCTTGAACTGTAAAAAAATCTGCCTTCCCATTTATTTGGCTGGAATAACAGACACACAAAAAAGCCGGATGAGTAGTTAAAAGGAAAAAATATTTCTATATTTTATTCAGGGATATGCTGCAGATGTAAAAGGACACAACTCCCTTTCTTTGACTACTACTCTCTTACTGACTAGGAAATTTTGTTCTCTAAAATCATAGACTATCACAATCTTTGTTGTTTCAAGTTACATGGGTAAGAATAAGAGGAGTTAGGTCACTTTGACACAAGCAGCCTCAATTTACAGTCCCGGTGCAGAGCTCAGGTAAGGTGATTCTGGACACAGCATTCCACCTCTGTGTAAACATTATTGTTTCCAAGGGGACAGGACAGACTTGATATTGATCCCTTTATATACAGTTCTACTTTGCATTGAGCCTGGCCACTTTCATTTACATCTCACCTAAATTTCACCCTTCCCCCAAACCCAATAATAACTATCTTTTCCTTTGGTGAGACTCCCCACAGTACCGCTGGTGTGGAGTCTCCCTCATTGCTGTGGTAAATAAACCTGATGTTGTTGGACTACAGGTTTGTTATTCGAACTGGGCCAGGACATGCTCCTTGTCCAGTCCATTGGCAAATGCTCTTGGCTCTCCCTTTAAAATCTATCCAGAATTGACCACTTGTAACCCCATTCTCTGCCCCACCCTGGTACTAGCCAGTATCACCTCCCTACTGCACTATTTTAATAGCTTCACTGGTCAACCCACTTCCATATTCTGTTCCCCGCATGCAGTCACAGAGCCTTCTGTTCACTGTATAAAAGACAAGAAGAGGCTGGAACAGGCAGAAAGCAGGCCTATAAAGCCCTACAGAAACTGGATCCCTGTATGACCTCATCTCCGTCCTGCCTCTCTCAATCTGCTCCAGTGTTATTGGCCTACTTGGTGCTTCTCTAGCCTGTCAGGCACATTGTTGCCCCAGGGCCTTTGCCTGTGTTATTTGCTCTGTCTGGAAAGTTCTTCCCTTTATGATTGTCACTCTATGTGAAATGATAACCCTCTCCCAGATACATACATATTCTTCCTGTCTGCCTTCTGTTTTGTTTTTCCCTTGAATACTTATCACTATCTGGCACACCACATATTTGATCTATTCATTTATTGTATCCCTCACTAGAATATCAGCTCCATGAAGGTAGGGATTTTTATCTGTCTTAGTCTCTGTTGTGTCCTCTCTACCTAGTATAGTGATGATGCTTAGTACATATTTGTTGGATGAATTCGATGAATGTATTTCATATGGGCTCCCCAAGAAACACAGCAGTTCAAGTTCCTTGAGGGACCCTGTGCAGGGTAGGGGAGATGCAGAAGAGTCTTTAAACCTAAATCAGTGTCTTCAGACTTGCTTTTTAAAATATATCACTCTGCCCTGGCCGGTTTATCTCAGTGGTTAGAGCATTGGCTCATGGACCAAAGGGTCAGGTTCAATTCCCAGTCAAGGGGACGTACTTTGGTTGTGGGTTCAATACCCGGCCCCAATCAGGATGCATGCAAGAAGCAACTAGTTGATGTGTCTCTTTCACATCAATGTTTCTCTCTCTCCCCCACCTCCCTCCCTTCCATTCTCTCTCTAAAGATTAATGGAAAAAATATCCTCAGGTGAGGATTAAAAAATAAATAAGTATACATATGTGTGTGTGTGTGTGTGTGTGTGTGTGTGTGTGTGTATATATATATACATATATATATAT